ATATATATTTTATGTATTATGAAACTAAAGGCATTACAATCTCATTATGAGTTATTAAATCACATAAGTTATACAAAGTGCTATTCTGGTACCATCCCGTTAGGCAGACTAATAAAATGCTATGACCTAAGCCTAAAGTAACTACACCAGTCCAAGATATGTATTATACAATGTAGCTAATTAAGACAAAATAATTAAGCAACATGCTCAAATAGGAATCATGCTCTCAAACTTTTATTATGACCAAAGAACAAATGAGTGAAAAATTAGCCTTCTATACACTAGCAATGAACATAAAAATGACATTAAAGTGACAACTCCAGCCAGATGTGGTGCATGCCTGTAATCCTAGCACTTGGGAGGCTGATGCAGGAGGGTTGCCTAGAGTTCAGAGTCAGCCTGGGCTACACAGTGAGTTCAAGGCCAGCCTGAATGACATAGCGAGACCCTGTCTCACACACAAACAAAAAAAGTAACAACTACATTCACAATAGTATAAATATAGTTTAGAAAACACCAGCTATGGTGGTGCACCCCAGCACTCAGGCTGAGGCAGGAGGATTGTCATGAATTTAAGGTTAGTCTGGGCTACAAAGTGAATTCAAAGCCAGTCTCAACTACATAGTGAAACCCTGTCTTAAAAAACAAAAAAAAAGTTACAGACTCGTACACTAAAAATTATAGAACTGAGCTGAGAATGTTTTAAAGATCTAAATAGGGCTGGGGATTTAGCTCAGTGGTGCCGCCGCCTGCCTTGCAAGAACAAGGACCCGCGTTCAATCCTCGGTACAAAAAAAAAAAAAAAAAAAAAAACTAAATAAATGTAAAGGTATTCTATATTTATAGGTCAAAAGATTTAACATGGTGGCTGACACCTGTAATCCCAGCATTTGGGAGGCTGAGGCAGGAGGATCACTGTGAGTTCAAGGGCAGCCTAGGCTACACAGTGAATTCAAGGCCAGCCTAAATTACAGAGCAAGACCTTGTCTCTGAAAAACCCAAAAAGACTTAACACTGTTAATACAGCAATACTGATCTACAGATTCAACTGAATGCAGTCAAAATCTCAGAAATTCACAAACTAATCCTAACATTCATATAGAAATACAAGGGATCCCAGTTTCTTAAAAAATAAAAAGAATGCAAGGCCCCCAAAATCCAAAATGGCCAATACCATCATGAAACAATGTTGGAGGACTGATGCTTTCTGATTTCAAAATTTACTACTCAGCTATCATAATTGAGACTTGTGTAATCTGCAAAAACAAAAACAATAGGTAAGTAGATTAATGGAACAGAAATGAGAACCCAGAAATAAACCCTTACATTTACAGCCACAGATTTTGACAAAGATGCCAAGAATTGGCTGGGGATACAGCTCAGTGCAGAGTGCTGGCCTAGCATGCACACAAACCCTAGGACAGAAAAGAAAAGGAAAAAGATGCCAACAACATTCATTAGAAATAAGACAATCTTTCAGTAAACGGTGCTGGGAAAAATGCATACACATGTGCAAAAAACCCCCTTTTACTCTTATTTCCTCTCCCAGTTAATCTTAATTGTTACTGTGACCAGATAAAGAGACTCCTGGGTAGGTGAGGCGACTGGATCATGGGGATGCTATGTTCATCAATCAAACCACTGCTGTTCACAGTTGAATGTGGTCTTAGGAGTCTGGGGCTGCCTTTGGGTGATGGATCTCTTTGCCAATCTTATTCCCCTGTGCTCTGCTTCCTGGCTGCCAAGAGCAGTATCGATCTACCACATCCTCTGCAGCGATAATTGTGCCTTTGAGCCAGCCAACCATGGACTAGATCCTCTGAAACCATGAGTCAAACTAAATTTCTCTTCTTTTTTTTTTTTTTTTTGGTGCCCGGGATCAAACTCAGGACTTTGTGCTTGCCAGACAGGCGCAGCACCACTGAGCTACACATCTCCAGCCCTCTCTTCTTTTCTTTAAATAATTTTTTAAAAGATAATCTCACTATTACCCCAGGCTGGCCTCCAACTCACACCAATGCTCCTGCCTCAGCCTCCCAAATGCTGGGATTATAGGCATGTGGTAACACACCCAGCTCTCCTCTTTTATATTATGGGAGGACTGCCTAGAGTTCAAGGCCAGCCTGGGCTACATAGAGAGTTCAAGTCCAGCTTGAACTACAAAGCAATACCCTGTCTCAAAAAACAAAAAAACAAACCACCACCACAACAAAAAGAAAACATTATACAACTCTAAATTCAGTTATTGATATAAAAGTTTTTAAATGAGTATTATTGAGTATAGTCTGATTAAAACTCAGTTTACACAAAAGAATATCATTCAGTTGAGAACAGGATCTAAAATATTACAAGTCTTCAAGCAACCTGTAAAAACTCTAGACTTCAAGACACTTAGGGCTGGGCCTGGTGGCACATGACTATAAATCCCAGTACACTGGGAGGCTGAGTCAGGAGGATCTCAAATTCTAGACCAGTCTGGGCAATTTAGAAACTTGGCAAAACTCTGTAAACCCCCAACAAAAACAACAAAAAAAGGTGGGAAGGGACTGGTAGCTCAGTGTGATAGCCCTTGGCTCAATCCCCAGTACCGGGGGGGGGGGGGGACGGACATTTAGGTGAACATATCTCTTTCTTTCTTTTTTTTTTTTTTGGTACTGGGGATCGAACTTGGGTCCTTGTGCTTGTGCAGCAGGCGGCGAAACCACTGAGCTAAATCCCTGGCCCCGAACATATCTTTCTTTCTTTTCTCTGCTTTTGGAGATAGGATCTCCGCTATATATAGTAGTAGGCTGGCCTCAAACTCACTGTGAATCTCATGCAGGCAAGTGCTACCACACCAAGGCATATCTTTCTTAGGTATCAGTATACAGCCAAGGTACACAATGAAAACTGATAGTATTCCCACAGAATAACTGTTCAAATGAACACCCAAAATTTTAAGTCAGCTATGGTGCACTCTCCTATAATCCAGAACTTTGCAGGGTGAGCCAGAAGGACAGAGTTCTATGCCAGTATAGCCCAGATAGCAAGCTCTGGAAAGGGATTGAGAGAGATCCCACAAAATTTTAGTCATAACTTGCTCATGGTGTGAACTAGTCAGGATGAAAAACAGGATGCATGTTTCATGAGACAAACGGATGGGGCATTATGAAAAGGGAAGAAAAGTAATTCTTTTTTTTTGGTACCAGGGATCAAACTCGGGACCTTGCGCTTTCGAGGCAGGTGCTGGAACCACTGAGCTAAATCCCGGGCCCCAAGAAAAGTAATTCTTACAGTTCAACTGCATAAGGTTTTTGTGAGGAGGAGGAGGAGGAAGAGATGGCTATGGTTAGTTTTTTTGGCATCTGTTGCTCCACATAATCACCTATGATGGATTTAAAGACAAAAGGCTCCGGGGGGTATGGTGCCTCACACCTGGGGTGAGGCAGGAAGACTGTCAAATTCAAGGTCAGCCTGGGAAACTTAGTGAGACCTTGTCTTAAATTTTTAAAGGGCTGAGAATATAGCTCAGTGCAAAGACCCTGAGTTCAATCCCCAATATTAAAAAAAAAGGGGACCAAAGACTAACCTCTAAAATATGATAAAACTGGTTTACGTAATTGTTTATGTTAATTTTACTTAATTCTAAATTAAAGATCGCAGAGTAGTTAACCTTGAACCATGACTTTGAAGCCACCTCACAAGATATGCCCTGTGGCTGTTTCATTTCTGGAACTGGCCAGGCCTGTAACACCACCTGCATCTGTGTTTGAAACTTCCTACCCGTTAGTTACCTACTAGAGTAGAAGCCTTTGAGGAACAATTTTTTTTTGCAATTTCGTGGTTACCTTTAGAAATGTCTTACACCAGGAGAATCAAGCTAACATGGTACAATACGTACTGACAACATTCTTTCACAAGCAACTATTCAGAATTATTCTGCTGCCCTAAGATTTACCATGCATCCAATCGCTTTTCTGTGTGCCACTATGACTGACAAAATGGAATCCTGCTCATGGAAGGTACTACACAAGATACAGTGTTTCTAACCAGCCCACCAGAAAGACTATTTGCAAAGTTTTAAACTAAAAATGTGGCATAAATTCAAATTAATATGCCTAAAGTCCCAATGAAAGAAAGCAGATTTCATAAAAATTAAAATTATCCCACAATGGGTGAAATTATCCTTAATCCAAATATTTATTAAATCAGTTATCCAAGGTTGGGAGTATAGCTCAGTGGTAGAGCGTACCTAGCATGGGTTGAGGCCCTGGGTTTGACTCCCAACACTGCAAAACAAACAAAAAAACTACAAAAGATTTGGGGGAAAAAAAGTAAATTGTCCATTGGCCTGGCTGTTCACAAATATTTCCTTATAAGATTCAGTAATTCAGATGAATTGGGAGAAAGGGGTAAACCTTGCCCTAATTAATCTTAGGCCATTTAAAAATAATTGGTGCTTCATAATTATGTGTAAGACAATTATTAAAAATGACATTTCAAGGTCCAAAGGGGTAGGGGTAGTGGGAGGGGCAGGGGAAAGGAAAGAAGGGAAAGGAAAAATGATGAGAAATGGAAAAAATGGAAATAAAGTCTTTGTAAATAGGGAAGGGTGGAGGGCGTGA